CTAATGCTTAAAAAAGACACTGTCTAGTTAAATGTTTCTGAATGTGACACAATGACCTAGAACCTGGATAGCTCAGTGATTTAGATATATGGCTGTGGAACCAGAGGTTGGGAGTTTGTCTCTCCACTATGACTACTGGTGTCTGTGTCACAAATTCTTTTTTGGATTTTGCTCCTTTCACTGAATTGTGATCAACCAGTGAATTAGTTGTAATCAGCACAATCCTTTGAGGGACTGTGGATATCAGGTGTGCTAACACTGCAAAATTCTCCAGTTGGAAGTGTCCCTAACTTAACTGCAGTAATAGAGTTGTGAGGTGCAGTGGTTAAACTGCTGTACTGTAACTAAAACTGTGCTCACGACCTGGGGTTCAATTCCAGGTAGCCGGCTCAAGGTTGACTCAGCCTTCTATCCTTCTGAGGTTGTTAAAATGAGTACCCAGTTCATTTTTTTGGGGGGGGGGATGTGTAGCCTGCATAATTAACTTGTAAACCGCCCAGAGTGCGCTTGAAGCACTATGGGGTGGTATATAAGCAGCACACTTTGCTTTTTTTAAAATTTATTTGTTTATTTATTTATTTATTCATTCATTCATTAAGCTTTTTAATCTACATTGAACACTGTTCGTGTTGTTTCAAGGCTGTACAGACTGCATGGAAACAGGAACTATCAAGCTTCCATATAAGGATAGGTTTACTGAAAGAGCAACACATTCTTCAGTAAAAGAAAATAATACAGGAGTGGACGGCTATGCTGACTAGGTTTGATGATAACTATGGCCCAGCAACTTCTGAAGGATCAAAAGTTGCTCATCCCTGATCTTTCCCATATAACTGCACCTAAAGAAACCAAAGAAAAGAAACAAAGTTTGCATTTAATGATCAGACAAGGGTGGCCACAGTAGTTCATTAACAATACACAAATCCACCCAACTTTTTGAGACTATGAAATGATTTTATTGAAATAGCATGCACTCAGAAGACCGTTTTAATCAAACCTTGTTATAGAATACTACTATGTTCTTTTGGTTCCAGAACAAAAAAAAATCTGAAAACTTGCAATAAATGAAATGAGGAAAATAATCTAAATAGGCTGGTACTGTAAGTAAGCAAGCCAAGAGTGGGCTATTTCTACTCAAGTTCTTAAGTCAGAAATACATTCCCTTTCTTATTCCTAAAACAGAACTATTTAGCCTTCAGTCAGAGGAAGAATATTTTTAGATTCCATCTGGAAACTGCCTACAGATAAAATTTATTTCATGTCATAGTCCATAGCTGCTAATTTTAGTTCATACTAATCTAAGGGGATCATCTGGGTGTGAGCATCAAAGCATTTACATTGGTCTCCCCTGGGAGATCAAGATGGGCAGCTGAATCACATGAAAGGGGCTCCCATCCTCAAGAGAGTCATCTGTAAATTTCTCTAGATTTTAACACATCCTCATTATATAACACCTAAGAAATATCTGTATGTCTCCACTTGCAGTTATAGTTGAGAGAAAAATAAGAGATAGCTGGACTAAGAGGTTAGAACACAGGACTATAATGGGATACTATGTAAAACAAAGTAATAAGACCATGACAGTTTTACATTATTCTGTATGACAGTGTTGTGTTTCCTAGTAAGCTGATATGGGTCTGGTAAGCCTCTAAATAGGGAAGGTCACCTTTAAATACCATGTAAAAAATGAGTGATGATACACTTATCACACAGAGAAGAGTTGAACTGCATTTTGAATGCTGCCATTACTTTGTTCTACTTTGCTTTATCATTAAAGAAAAGGTAAAATCAAGGAAGCTTCAATTTTCAAAGACCATACAGTTAGAAAAGCTTTGCTTCCTCATCCAAATATAAAAGGAGTTTGGAAAAAAATTTCCTCAAAAAGATTATCTATAAAGACATCTTAAAAGGTAAAGGTAAAGGTTCCCCTTGACATTTTTAGTCTAGTCATGTCTGACTCTAGGGGTCGGTGCTCACCCCATTTTCCGTTGCCACGTGGCCAGCATGACTAGGGAACGCTGTTTTACCTTCCCACCGAGGTGGTACCTATTTATCTACTTGCATTTACTTGCTTTCGAACTGCTAGGTTGGCGAGGAGCTAGGACAAAGCAATGGGAGCTCACTCTGTTGCGTGGATTTGATCTTACAACTGCTGGTCTTCTGACCCTGCAGCACAGGCTTCTGTGGTTTAACCCATAGTGGCATCATGTCCCATATAAAGACATCTTAACCCATCTTATTTTTCTGAAGTGTAGAACTAACCACTGTAATGCGCTCTACGTGGGGCTCCCTTTGAGGCTGCTGCGAAAACTACAGGTGGTGCAGAATGCGGCGGCCAGATTACTTAGTGGAGTGAGGAAATTCCAACATATTTCACCCACTCTGGCCGCATTACATCGGCTGCCCATACGATTCCGCATCGACTTCAAAGTGTTGTCACTTACATACAAAGCCCTAAACGGTTTAGGGCCTCGATATCTGGCGGAACGCCTACTCCCACCAAGTTCTACCCGTGTCACTCGCGTGAGCCAGGAGGTGAGGTTGAGGAGCCTAACGCCGAGGGAGGCCCGGAAGGAGAAGACAAGAAATCGGGCCTTCTCGGCGGAGGCTCCTCGCCTCTGGAACAATCTCCCTCCTGAGATTCGCGGGTCTCCCTCGCTGGGTATCTTTAAGAAACAATTGAAGACATGGATGTTTGGGCAGGCCTTTCCATCATATTCCTCTTGACCTCCTTCTTCCCTCTTTACTGTTTCTGTTTTGCACTCTATGTAATGTATTGTAGTGGTTTTTACTAATTAGAATTGCTTATTTATATTGTTACTGTATTTTATTGTTGTTAGCCGCCTAGAGTGGTCCTCACTGATCAGATAGGCGGGGTATAAATTAAATAAATAAATAAAAAATAAAATAAATAACAGGAAACTTAAGGTAAACGTAGTCCAGACAGGCAACCATGAATAGATAAGGGCTTGCATTACCTCTGTGAATGGAAACAACGGCTGGTCATAAACCCACAATATATCCTCTGTGTGGATGGGAAAGCAAAAATGTGCCCGCTGACCCAAATAAATATGTGGTTCCTCTGATTCAGGAGGAATAGTAAACATCTCACACAGTGTTGCATGCCACTTAACCTGAGAGCGATTCTTAGTTCTAAGTATGACTAAGTCTGAATTCAGCCATGCAAATTCCACATGTAATCTAATTTTGTAACCATGTAGTTGAAACAGATTGTTTCACAGAAAAATGACTAAGGTTACAAGTGCTTTAAGAGCCTCTACCAAAGACAAATCTTAACCAACAACAACAAAAAAAAAAAAAAAAAAAAGGAAGGGAAGGGAAGGGAAGGCTGGTGATAAACTGACATTTTAAAAACAAACAAACAAACAAGTGAACAGTATGAAAATAGCAGGCAAGAATACTGACAGAAGGCAAAGTGCTCTTGGCAGGCAAATGCATTTCTGATCCATTTAGGCTTAACAGATTTGTATAAAAGAACATTTTTCCGCAGCAACCAAACCGTATGAAAAGCTTGAAAGAGCAATTTTGCCAGTAAGAGAGATCAGTAAATATAACTACACTCTTTACTTCCTTACTGACACTGTTTACTTCCTTGCCTTACTGTAATAAAATAGTTTTACTATCTTAAATTGTCAAGATTATATATACAGTGCCGTTATTACATTTCAACTGTTTGAAAACAGCTGTATTAATTTTTATTGATGTTTAGTGCATCTAAGCAGATAAAAGGCAAAATGAAAACTACAAGCAAGGCAAAATCACCCTGACATCCACTGTATCTTTACGAAGCCCTAGTGTTGCTTTTTATTCTTAAGTCTACCTTGGTGCTTGGCACAGTCTTAGACTGTAAACTCTCTGCCTGCAGACTCTCTCTATTACGCACAAGGCCCACCACAAGAAAGGCAATAAATAAGCTGCACATATGCACTCAAATCCTCTTATATAGTTACGCTGGCATGACACAAACAGTTTTAAATTTTAGAGGTTTGTTGCCCCATTAAGAAATCTTCTTAAGGACCAAGGAGATAAATGAGGTAGGTAACTACATTAAAGTTAGAGGTATGTCTTAAAATAGCAGTTTTATCAATAATTGATCAAGTGCAATATAATTGGAAAATTAAACAACTACTTTCCAACTATTAACAGTAGCAAAATTAATTTGGCGCTAGGAAAACATTGTACAATTTTCAGTTAAATAAACAGTATAGCAAAGTTTGGGATATAGCTAATAATGACAATTTAACATGTAATATTAAAGTTAAGAAGGGGTTGATAAGTAAGAATGTATTTATAGATACATGGGGAGAATTCATTGATTTCTCAAAGAGACATGCACCTTTGCAAGAGTCAACACAATTTTGGAAGGGGAAGGGGACTCCATAGAAAGGGGAAGAAAAGGGTTATAACTCTCAAAACAGTCCCAAGGGGGGGTGGGGGAACATGATTTGTATAGATATTTTTATTATTCGTTATTAGATTTTTTAATGCTACTGTGATTTGGTTTAATAATTTTTTTAAAAAAATCAACATAGACATTATCAGCAGCATGCTGAGTCATGCAACTAGTAATGTCTGTAGTAATTCCTTAACTTGGGCAATGTGTCTCCAAAAGTCATGCCATTTGCATAGCTACACAGTAACATTATGGCTAGTGTGTGGGGAAGTAACAAAAAGAAAAACTAATAGCTGCCTGCGCCAAAGAACAATTCATTTTATTAAGCATTATGTGTATGCCGATTTGGAATTGCAGAACAGCCAAATGGTGTCTCTTAGCTGGATGCCAGGATTTAAAGAAAATCCTTAAAGAAAAATGAAAAGTCTTAAACCATGGCTTGATAAACTCAAGGCCCCAATCTCAAATCCCAATGCAGACCCCAGTTTTTGCACTGTTTCTCATTTTCTCGTTGGGATATACATGCAAGCTGAGATGCTTGTTCAAGGCAAACTCACTCAGACCTCTCAGCAGTTCAATATGGTACCTGACATCTTCCGCTGCTCCTGAGAGAAGTCAATACCTTCACCAATGGAACTCATTATTTTCTCAATCTGAAAAATATAAGAAATATTAGTGAGACTATATTCATAAATGTATAGAGGCTAAGTAGAGAGCATCTTAATCGTATCACATGTGTTTAAATAAATGCTGCATTTATATTATCTAGAAGTCATGAATTCTCAGACAGTGTAAGAAGGGACTTTACAGAAGCATCTTAGTAACGGAACAAGTAGTAAGGAATGATAAGAGTTGTTCACACTGTAAAGAAATATGTGCCATTTTAAGGTTTGCATATTTGAATGGAAGTCTTTTTCATACTACAGTATTGATTCTCCTTATGATACATAAATCCTCTTCAGTCAACAAAGAATGCATCACTCCAATTAAGGAGGGCATTCAAGTTACTCATACCAAGTTGTTTCTATTGAAATACCACAAAAACATTAACATAAACTGTAAAATATGTGCAGAAAGCAGAAGCATCCAGGGTAGTGCTGTACCAGCTACGAAAAGAAAGACAAATCAGTTGAAGGATAAACTAAGCCACAGAGTCATCTACAGGTCCCAAGCATCTATAACTCAAAGGAAGAAAACAGAAGCTGCAAGAAATGCTTTACTAACATAATATCCAATTTTAAAAGACCCAAATACAATTAAAATACTTCTACAGAGAGCATTGAAATATCAAAATATAAGCAGCAACCTACAGAACTGGAAATTCTCAATCAGTCCTACAAAGTAACCAAAGAACAATTTCACTGTTGGTTAGCATGTGAGTCTAGAAACTTAGACCATGTTTTCTGTTCAATGGGGCATGAATAACTTAAATTTGATATATGCCCAATTCGTACAAGAAAAAAAATCAGCAATGATACTATGTTTTAACCCAAATTTTTGCTTCACACTGTCAATGTTCAGATGGCGCTTGAGAGCAATGGAGACAGAAAATTTTGCTCTTAGTTTGCAGCCTTATGCCACCAAAATAAAAAAATAAAAAATTCAGAAACTTACTAAGAAAATGAGTAAATCTGAAGATGCCCATCTCTGGTAAATGTCTAAGCATATGTAACAAATACATAGGCATGTTTGGAATTTGGAAAGCATCTTACTTACTTCTAGTGCTAAACAATTAATTTAAACATTTTACTAAATTTGATTATGCAGACTTAGTATCATTAAAATTTAGCATGAAGTCTAAACAGACTGAATATTTGTGGATAAAACACCCATTTTGCCTAACAATTATTTGAATTACAAACCAATTTGCCCAGCACATCAACTTCCCATGTATTTACAAAGATCAACACAAAAAAATTCCCGTAACCAGCAAACAAAAAGCACAAACACAATGAAAGCCCAGAATAACTGCACAATTAGGCAACCTCAGCGGTCAGAATGCTTCTCAGCACAAGCAAAGCTTTTCAGATTTCTTACATGGGAGAAAGACTGAACTTCGGAGGTACCAGACACCTGCAGCTGAAACTCCTGAGAAAGAGCAGAACATATTTTCCATGGGCAATTCAGTCAATTAAATTAAACACAATTTACTCCAGAAAAGTATATAAACTACAAAAACTCTTGTGTTTGAACCAGAATAGCACAAAAACTAAGCAGGTGTTTGTAATAGGACATATTCTCTTACACTATTGAGTTGCTTCTTGGTCCTTATATTTAAGGTTTTACACACTTCTGGGATTCACTTCACAAATGACCACAGAATCATGGCATTGCAATACCAAAAGCAGATGTGGAGTGAAGCTTTTTCAGGTTTAATGTGAAAAAAGGTTTTTAAGATTCCAATTTCTCATGCTTCCAACAACTTAGTATGTAAACTATCTACTTCAGATTTTTTTTGTCTAGAAATTGCCTAGACAGAAACAGAGAAGAAACCTTGATTCAAAACCGTGATCACAGTATCTTAGAAGGCACTAAGATTGCAATTCCATAAGGGATGATGGAAGCGCAAAACATATATGATTCTTTCCATGCATTTAGAGTACTCTCCCTCCACTCAACAAACAAAGTTATAGAACAGCTAATAAAAGGACAAAAGAAACAATGGAAATAAACATGAGCTTTGATTTGTCTTGACTGGGAGAGAGAAGCCTCATATTGTTTTTTTCACGAAAGCCATTGTAAAAGCAAAAAGCATATCTGAAGTCAGAAAACAGATATCTAACATTATATATTATGATCTGGATTCCAGGACATGCAAGTTGCATTCTGCTTATGGAACAGGACTTTCTTGACCCATCCTTCTCACTGATCTTGTGGGATATGGTACAAGGAAAGGCAATCTAGTACTGCACAGATGTCCTGAACTGCAATTCCTGTAAGTCCATGTCAACATCCTTGTTCTGGGATAAGCTGAGCAGGAATCCGAAACACTTGGTGGGCACTAGGTACCTATTTTTTCATGGCCAATTTGTTAATAATTCCCTTGATTCCTATTGTGCTTAATAAATAATAATTGTGTGACATCAAGTCAATTTTGACTTATGACCGGCTACCCTTCTCAGGGCTTTCTAAGTAAAGATACTTAGAAGTAGTTTACCATTTCCTTCTTCTGGGGACATCCTGGGAGCCTGCCCAAGGCCACACAGGCTGGTACTTCTTTGAGGCACAGTGGGTACTTCAACTCCTAACCTCTGGCTCGGCAGCCAGATACCTAACTCACTAAGCTATCCAGTCAGCTTAAAATTATGGGTGCTTACCTCACCCATAATTGTTAAATGACAACTCAAAACTGCCCCTGGAAAGACAATGTATTTTGGAAGGCCACAAATTTAGAGATAATTTAGAGATAATTTAAAATCTACATGTGTTTATGGCTTTGTTATTCAGTATTTGTGGAACTTTCTTTCCACCGTTGAAAGAAGAGCTCCCTAAGCAAACACCTCATTTTAGTAATAGTAACTGGTTCTGCTCCTCTGCTGCTCCACCAACAAATCCTATTATGCATCCCCAACATGCAAGCTCTGCAACATTTAATGTTAATAAAGCCCCTCCATTTAGAACAGCTGTGTTCCTCCCTTAGTAGAAACATGGATACTTGCCAAAAGGCTTCCTTCAGTCAGTACCAACAAAAGCAGCTTGACATAATCATTGCTGGAAAACAAACAAAGCTGCCACGTCTGTTAATATTTTTTGCCTCTTCAGTACCACCTCATGCATAAAACTCTTGCACATTAAATTCTTCTATAAAAAGGTAAGTGCCTGAAGGGATGCTTCAAGGCAGTCCACCTTGGATTTCCAAATCTCTTTCGATTTAGTTCAAGAGTGATTTTAAGCTAAAAACTGATGCAACAAACTTCAGTGAGAAAAAAAGTATAGACATCTTTTTTTAATCCAAGCTATTGCAGTTTTGTAATAATGAGGTGAGCAACACACCAGCACTGGTCATTTCACCTCAATGCTTCCATGATTCCAGATAAATCAAGTAAATCTCATTTACTTGAGAGTTATCACAGAATCCCACTCTAGCAGTTTTCTGTGCAAAGTCCCTGCAAAGAGGAGCGTGGACACTTAGGTGTCTTCAGATAGAATCCCCAGAGCCCTGAGTGCCGGTTTGCACAAATCTTAACTTCCACTTAGGGTGATTTTCAAAAGAGACCTCATATGCCATGCAACTACATGTGGCATCCCTACCCCACTGGGTATTCAAGCGTACAAAAGCTCCATTTATCAATATTAATGCAACTTTCCCTTCAAGCTTAACTGCTATACAGGAGGGTACCATCCCTGTGGAACTACAAAATCTGTTTCCTCCCTCGCAGGAAAATTAAGTTTAGGAAAATAAAATTCCATTGGTATCAAGACAAGATTTTGTTCCACGTGATATTTATTATATGTGGTGGAGGCAATTTTCCTTTGGGGGAGAAAGAGAAAGAAAGGGATAAAGAGAGCTTGGAAAAAATTAAACAAAGCGATGGAGGGAAGGAAATGAAAAAAGAGATGAAAATGTGCTTTTTACCCTCACCAAGATGAAAGATTCTTTGCAAGAGATTGTTCTCTAGGTACCTCAGTTGTGTATTAGAGTCTGGGTGGTGGTAGTAGTGAATGTTTTTCTCTTAATCTCTGTGTGGCATTGTCTTCTACAATGATTCAGACAGCTGATACATATTGTGCAGTTAGATTGCATATTCAATATTGTTTGTTTTGGGACTAGTCACTGGAATGGGCTAGGGAATATGCGTTCCTCTTACTTTATAATTTAATCCTATGGGTACATGCTGGGACTTAAGGAAAGTCACAGTTCATCACATGAAGACACGACTCCAAGGACTACAGAACAGAGGAAATGAGAATGTCCTCTAAACTGCAGGTTCAATTATGTGTCTTTGATATTTCCTTTTCTTTTTCCAGGCCCTTTATGCCTCCTCCACACTATCCATAATTCCACTGTTCATCTCAGTCCGATCTGTATCTCCAAACACCCACCCACCCACCCACCCACCCATCCATCCATCCCACCCCTTACCATCCTCCTTGTCTCTCTTCTCTCAGCACTATTCTCAAGTCCTCACACCTCCATTGCACCATTTCCTGACAGATCTATGCATCCCTTTATTAATTTTAGAGGAAGACTTAAATAGAAACTGATAAAGGAAGGGGAGTTTAGTCACAGATTTGCCTTTCACTTGTTTAGGATTAACATCCCGTCAAACTTTTGGAACTCTAGTACAAACTTACATTCTTACTTATTTGCTGCCTAAAAATGGCAGTGAAGTGTTTTATGGATCTCAAACATGTTTATTATGGCAAGACAATAGTTTTTGCTGCTTTAGAGTAACATAGCAACCCCTCTTGAAATCTTTAGAGGGCATGGTGAGTGAGCAAGCACAAGACAAGGAAACTATAATCAGAAGTGGGGGAAAGAGCTAATTAAAAGATCCCACAAATCACACTCATTTCTTGCATTTTTATATTATTACAACTCAAGAGATACTGTATAGAGTGAAATACAACTGCGTATATATTAACTGATTTTTATTTATTTTTAATGAGATTTGGATGAAAAATTAGTTTGCTGCCCTTGCCTTTTGTGAAA